ACACACACACACACACACACACACAAACACACACACACGCAACACACAAGCATGAGTCCTAATAGCAGTACATGGTGGTGCTGTTACGTAAGAGGGTGAGAATTAATCAGTGCCGAGGTTTGACCGCAGCTTCTTCTTTTTCATTGAGCCAATGCTCGACTGCGGGGCGGTAGGCTATTCATACTTTTAATCATAGTGACCGAGATTCCAATCCCACTCCCCAGTTGGGAGACTCTTGAACAAAGGCGGCTCTTATACGGGGTGCCCATTAGCGCGATCGGGTCGTGTCGGAATGCGTCGCCTCGTCGGGTTGGGTCGTTTTCTAGTGGTTTCAGTGCACAGTACAACCCTGCCGTGATTGTACCCGACGACCTGGAAGTTAAAGTAGAGATACCTTTTACCTCAATGGCTTCCAGGGCTTCTTTCCGCAGTTCCCTGTTGCAGTGCTGCGGCAGCCTGGAATCCCATAAATATGGGGTACATCGATAAGTTTCTATAACCAACGATGGTTCATAACAAGATAGTTCACTAGGCCAACAAAAAGTGTCCGCGGGAGTCCGCTCATTGATTCAGATGGGTCTGTAGTCTTTGTTTTGGAGCTCTCTTTCGTTTCTCCAGAAGACGAATAGGAAAAGCACAGTTTGTTAGTTTCGCTTTTATTGTTTTTCACACAAGAAGGGAAACTCTGTTCGCAAAGTTAGCACTTTTTCGAAGAGGGCACCACAGGATTTTGAGTGTCAACATAGGAACGCGACTCAACCTTTTTGCGATTGGCTGCAAATCACCCAATCGCCCGAGTCGCATGCCTAAAAACAAACACGTTTGTTTTTTGTTTTTGCAGATCAGCGACCGAGTCGATGGGTTTGTGCCACGATTGTCACTTTGCGCCCTCAATTTGGCGAGCCCCGACTGTTAAATGGCCCCGACCCGATCGCACTAGTGGGCACCCCCTAATACTGAGAGGGTGTGAAATGGGCTCCTGTACCAAAGATTCTCTACCTGTACTTCAAATAGTTTATTTTTGGCCCATGCAGGAGATAACAAAAGAGGGCGAAAGGATGCATAAACACTGAAATTAAAACATAAGCCACTCTCGGTGTTTACACTGTTTTTGAAATACCAAAAAAAAACACATTTTTATGAGACAATTTACAGCAACGAATGTTGCAGCTAGAGGAGAATGTGGCTGTCGAATTAGGTTATTTACAAAAAAAGAAAAAATTCCGTTACGCAAGCTAAGGTCGATGTTGCTTTTTTCTGAGTTGTTGTTAAGTGGACAGCAGTGTACCTTGGCCCCACGTCTAACCTTGACAAAAAATCATAAGTTACATAAGGGTAAAATATCACAACAACGAAAACGTAGAAAGGGTATAAATAAGCGGTGAGATCTGAGGAAAATCGTCACTTCAGCTGTTACAAGTTACTTCCAGCAAAATGTCTGCCCTTTTCCAGGTATCCGTGGTTGCTGTTCTGTTCTGCTGCGTTGCTCCATCCTTGGGACAACTCCCGAGCCCGAGTCAAAGTGAGTATTTGTTGTAACCACTATTGTATGTATCGTCATTGTTGTTGGCGGTGGTTTTGCTGTGGTGCTGCTGTTGCCCATGGCGAATATGATTATGATGGTGGTAATATTGCTGTTGTTGTTGTTGTTGTTGTTGTTGTTGTTGTTGTTGTTGTTGTTGTTGTTTACAATGTTCAACCTCTGCCTCCTCCTTTCCTTTCCAACTACTTATTGTTGCTGTCTTAACCTATTTGTTAACAATAGCTATATCTAACTTTCTTTGTTTTTTAATCCTTTTTTGTTGGGGGCGGGGTGTGACAAATCAAGGTTAAAGACTCACCAAACCTATTGTTGTTGCTGTTGCTTCTATTAGTATTGTAAAAGTTGCTTCCGCTGTTGAAGTGTTATATTTCTTTTTTCATCGCTCTTTCGTCGTTGATATTGTTGGGATTTTTGCTAATCTAGGTTTTTTTCTTCTTCTTCTTCTTCTTCTTCTTCTTCTTCTTCTTCTTCTTCTTCTTCTTCTGCTTCTGCTTCTTCTTCTTCTTCTCTGCTTCTGCTTCTTCTTCTTTTTCTACTTCTTCTTCTTCTTCTTCTTTTTCGTTCTCTTCCTCTTCTTCTTCCTGAGACCACCAATATGTGTGGAGTAGCGATTAGGCGATTTGCTGTCGCACACAAGAGACCAGCGTTCGATTTCCGAGAGGAGAGAATTTTTATCGGGTATCTGTTGGGATGTTGTATAATTCCCCTCACAGTTTGGCCCTGACAGCCAGGGTCATTCGGACCGGTTCCTAAATCACCTAAATTATGTCGACAGGACCGTAAAAACACCTTCGTTAAAACAGTATTATAGAGGCCGGACCATTTTCAACAAAGCTTGGACTTTAAAAATTCAATAAAGGAGGTGTCAAGTGTTTTAATATGAAGAAAATCAATCAACTTATTCAAAAAAACATCAAGTTTTAATTAATGTTTCAATCAAAACTGAGCGCAAGGCAAGACTGTTCTACTTCGTTGAAGAAGAGCTATTTTTAAAACAAAAGTGACATTGCCGGATAAACTCAGGAAATAAGATGACCATTTAAATTGTATGCTTCAGAGTGTTTATTGCCCTTGTCTCTCCAGAAAAGCTGTAATACGCCGCTGAAGTTTTGGCTAACCCTGTGGAATGTTTCTGTGTCGCAAAGTCCACACTGTTATTAGCACTATGAAACAATGGGCAAAAGTGTAAGGAGAATATCCCACTGGCAAAAAAATTGAACGATCAAATGCATTCTCATGGAGCGCAGAGTGCCTCAAAGAATTCAGTCCGTCAAGATCGTCTTTTTCATAATCCATCTCACTCACCGGCACAGGCACACCCACATTGACGCCACACATTGCATATAAAGAGACGTATATTCGTAATAAACAGCTAGCAGAAATGGCGTATTATGTAGCCCTGTGTCTAAACAAATACCTTCTGTTTACTCTATTTGTACCAGAAAGCGAGAACCCTTGTGATGGCTTCCCGTGTTTTAACCAAGGTGTCTGCATTGCCATTGGCGACAAGCCATCATGTGTGTGTCAACCAGGATATACTGGAAACATGTGCGAAACTGGTATGTATTTCTTTCGTTATATAGAGAGGCATAGATAAGTAAACGGATTGACAGTCAACAGTTCTACAGACAGACATTCAGACAGACAGACAGACAGACAGACAGACAGACAGACAGACAGACAGACAGACAGACAGACAGACAGACATATAAGAAGATAGCCATATCAACACACATATATAGATAGATAGATAGATTGATAGATAGATAGATAGACAGATAGATAGATAGATAGATAGATAGACAGACAGACAGACAGACAGACTGACTGACTGACAGACAGACAGACACACAGACAGACACACAGACAGATAGATAGAGGAATGGAAACAGGAGCCTTTCTGGGGGAAAATAAAAGGAAAATGCGCTGGTAACGAACTGTTTAAGAATATGGGAGAAATTAATTAAATACGGTCATGTATGTGTATGACTCCCACAATATGACGACAATAGCAATAACAACACAAAAACAACCAAACGAAACAATAATAAAAACAACAACAACAAATAGAGCTCAATAGCAGTTACAGCAACAAAGCCCACAACAGGATAATATATTATGACATCGTCCTCGTCATCAGCAACAATAACAACACCATTCTCATAGAAAACATCAACAATAAAACCTCCAACATCTACAAGAACAAGAGCAGCAACAACACTCTGTCCAGATCACAGCCAACAAATATCTAAAAATCATTTCCAAATTTCGTCATATCCTAAGATTATGTCTAAATAATAACCAGCCAGCAATAATGGCGCGTGTAGCCCTAGGTTTTAACAAACATGTTCTGTCTTCTCTATCTGTTCCAGCGGACCCTTGTAGCAGTTTGAGCTGTTTGAATGGAGGTGTCTGCCGTGCTCCATTCAGCACCCCATACTGTGATTGTCCTGTAGGAAATGTCGGAACCAGATGCCAAACATATGCTGGTACGTTCCTGGGTTTGTTAATTGCATAGAGATATGCACTGATAAACGGGCTGGCAATCTAAAACCCTTCTGACACACACACACACACACACACATACACACACACACACACACACACATACATACAAACAAACAAACAAAAAAGCACATGCACAAACACACATACGCACTCACTCACTCACAACAGCAACTACAACAATTATTTGGGGAAGACAACTGAATACTGAACTTCCTTATACGTTACCAGAAGGAAGCAACGTCACTGCAAATATTTGGGGAAAACAAAGGGAGACTGTACTGCCTCACACATTAAAATTTAGGAGGCAGTGACCCTGGTGAGAATTCATTAATTGGAGCTGATAGGCGCAACAGATAAATTTTTATTCGTGACTCCGCTGTTCCTTAAATTGGACTCCCATACACAACAACAACAACAACAACAACAACAACAACAACAACTACAACAACAACAACTCTAAAACACCATGCCCCCGTCATTACCCGAGTTTTTACCTCTAGTGAGGTCAAAAACTCATGGCACACGTATCCTCAAATATCTTTTTAACAGGACAATCAATGTTCCCTATACTTTGCACAGCCGTTTGTATCAATTTGTCTTAGCTTGGTCATATTGTCCATAACAATTGAGGATGAATTATTTAAATGTTCTTCATAAATGTATCAAACCTCAGTCACACCGAAATAAGCAGAGTTCACACCACTTCTCACTTCTCACACACATTTTGCTTACGCATAATGGCCTACGTCACTGCTCACCACCGACACTTAGTTACAAAACTTGTTACCCCCCCCCCCCCAAAAAAAAAAGTCATCATACGAACATTATTTTGCTCTAAAGGTTTTCAATAGATGCTTTCAATAAGTACAGTGTCACGATTTGAAGAAAGGAAAGACTTGCTATTAGTATAACAAAGTGGTATTCTCCCAGCTCATGGAATGCAAACTTTTAAAAATCTGTAGAAACCAACCAAGTTTTTATGAGTGTTTACTAAGGAATATTCTAAAATAAAGCTAAAAAGTGTTTACAAAAAGGTTGATCTGTTAAGACAAATTGACACAAGCTTTAGTTCAAAAGCTGGAGAGTCTATGTCCGATAGTTGCGGAAATATTTGACAATAAGTTGCGCCACCAATTTTTGACCGCGCCATAATTAATAAACAGCCAGCAGATATGACATGTGTAACTCTAATTATATACAGACACGTTTTGTTTATTCTATCTGAACCAGGAATCGTCTTGGACCCCTGTTATACAATGAAGTGTTTGAATGGAGGTTTCTGCGCCACACCTAACAACGAGGCACAGTGTGTGTGTCAACCAGGATACAGTGGAGACAAATGCCAACACTATAGGGGTATGTTATTCGTTCATTAACAAAAATAGAGATAGGTAAATTAAAAAGCATACCCACAAATAGATAGACATACAGGTGTACAGATTTTCAGCTGTAGATAGATAGATAGATAGATCTCTCCCCTCCTCTCTCTCTCTCTCTCTCTCTCTCTCTCTCTCTCTCTCTCTCTCTCTCTCTCTTTCTCTCTCTCTTTTAATACCCTTTTGTACCTAAGTATGCTGATGACTGGGTTGGGTTTTTTTTTCTTTTGCTTAACAAAATAAAACCCTTCTCTTTCTCCAGATATCTAGATTCCTAAGACAAGGACTTGTGCCTTCTGTGGGTGACGTAAGCGTGTTTGATCGTTTCGAGCAGAACATCAAAAAGTGAATTTCCACCCCGCTTCGCCCCTGATTCTGATTATATGACGGGAATCCAGTTAACCAAATAAATTTGCCATGACAATAAATATTGTGAATTTAAATATGTAAATAAACTTGTACAGTACAATGATGATGGTTGTTGTTTTTTTCAGAAGCTTGACCTGTTCCTATTCACAAGTTTGTGTTTTTTCCTTTGTTTTCTTTTCTTTTGTTACTTGTAGTTTGTTGCTTAAGCTGTCATTGTAGTCGATGTTGTTGTTGTTGTTATTGTTGTTGTTATTGTTGATGATGATGATGATGATGATGATGATGATGATGATGATGATGATGATGATG